TGAGTATTTCATGAACTTTGATGCCGTCATATGTGGTATGTACTCCAGTGGCTCATTGCTAGCATACGGAAACGTAACCTATTTTGGTACACTGTCTTTGTATGCTGTGACCCTATAAACCTCACTGTTTAGTCCTACTGGCTTGTCATTGATACCCTGGAAACTTCTACAGATAATTATGTTGTCTCCAGATATAGTTTTACTTCCTCCTTTCCAGTTTATCTACCTTTTCTTTTTGCTTGCCTAATTATACTGGTGAAGATCTCCAGCACAGTGTGGCCAGGAGTGGTGGGAACAGAAACCCTGCCTGGTCTCTGTGTCAGGGATGCAGTCAGTTTCACCCTTATATTATATCAGCTGTGGTTTTCCGCAGGTGCCTTTTACCTGGTTGAGGAATTTCTCTTCTCTTTCTAGCTTGCTGAGAATTTTCAATCACAAATGTGTTTGGGATTGTTATCAATGGTTGTGCTGCTTGCCTACAGAGATGGCCTGCACCCCTTTTTCATTCTACTGAAACAGTTGATTTTCCAAAGAGAAGCACCCTGCAGTCCCAGATGGCCTCCACTCTCACACGTTTCCCACTGGCCTCTCTCAATTACACCTCCTCCTGTGCCCCTGACCTCTTGCCTAGGTTGACATGCACCTCAAAGGGTGTGTCCTGGCATCCACGTTCCACAACCATAAGTCATCCCTCAAGACAGACCACACTCCTGGGAGACCAAGCTCATCACATCACTGCCTGCCAGACTGCTGCTAACTCCCTCGGCCCAACGCCCAACACCCTAAGGGAAAGTGTATCAACACCACACTACTGGCACTGGCACTGGCATCCTCCCCTTCCCCACATACGTGTTCACACAGGCTCATCCACATGCACTGTGTCCCCTTCCTGCCTGTGACTTCAAAGTTGTAGAAACTAATATGCCCCCAACCTGCATGACCCTGTGTGCTGGACATCTCACATGTACCCAGGCCTGTGTGACACACAAGGACCTCGTTCCACAGGGTCTTCCCATGGTTTCACTGACTCGCCCCAGCCAACTCACCCAGCCTCCTCTCCTAAGACGTAAGAAGCCCCACATGGGGAAGAGGGTGAGCAGGCCACTCTCTCCTGGGGCTCAGCCAGGGTACATCCAAGTCCAGGATGAGGCCAAAGAGTCCTCTGAGGACTCCAGGACACCAGAATCCTGTCCTTAGGGAAGGGCCCATACAGAGGAACCTGGCCTCAACACCAGGGGCTCACAGCCCTGGGGCCTGAGGGTCCCCAGGATGCTGCTCAGAAACTGGGCAGGCATGGGACAGCCAGAAGCACCCCACTAAAGGCAGGCAGGAATAGTGGCCACAGGCCCCTCACATCCCCATCAACTACAACCCTGGTGTCAGCAAGCAAGTCCCATGGTGGGAAGGTGGTGGGACCACAAGGCCAAAGAGACCCAAGGGAAATGGCTGCAGGAAGGATCACCAAGGCAGGGGCACCACCTAGTGGCAGCAGCTGCTCCACACCCATGGGGCCTGGGGCCTCAGCAAGCCCCAAATTCCAGCAAGGCCTGGGCCTGAAGGTAAGCAGATGCCAGCTCACTCGCACAGGCCCAGGACACTCCCAGCTGCCGAGCCCTCTGCTTCCAGGATATGTGATATCACCTCAGGTCCCCAAGGCTGAGCGGAGGGGATCCCCAAGCTTGCCCACAGAAGCACGCGTGTCTCCACACATGAACAGCAAGTGTGCTCAACCCTCCCACGGAACCACAAGCGGCAGCTATGGCCCTGAGGCCCCAGCTTCTCACTGCACCTGTGTCCCCATTGCCCACTTCATTGCCACATTCAATGTTGCCTGACATGGGCTTCAGAAATCCCTAAGAACTGCCCCAAATCTGGTCCCTAAAAATAGAAAGAAAGCCCAGTGTATCTGTGGTTTACCCAGAAATAATGCACTTTGTTTTTTGTTTGTTTGTTTTTTTAGAGACAGGGTCTCATTCTGTCACTGGAGTACAGTAGTGTGATCACGGCTCACTGAAGCCTTGAACTCTTGGGCTCAGGTGATCCTCCCACCTCCATGTCCTGGGTAGCTGGGACTATAGGTGTGCAACACTGAGCACAGCTATTTTTTTTCTTTCTTTTTTGGTACAGACAGGGTCTCAACTATGTTGCCCAAGTTGATCTCAAACATGTAGGCTAGAGGGATCCCCCTGTTGCAGCCTCCCAAAGCATTGGGATTTCAGGTGTGAGCCACTGTGCCCAGCCAGAAATACACATGTTTACCAAACCCTCGAGGTGCACATGTTTACCAAACCCTCTATGAGCCAGAAATGCACGTTTACCAAACCCTCTATGCGCGGCATTCAGGACCCCCAGCCTGCATTCCCAGGGACTGTGACATGGATGCTACCCCCACTAACATCAAGCATGAATCAGAACCACATTCAGATACCCACCCTGTGGTGCACAGGAAACACAAGGAGTGGTGAGGAGCCCTGAAGGGGCCCAGGCCCGGCAGGTGACTGAGCACGTGAGGAAACCTGCCCTCTACCAGACTCACGGCCAAGGCCAACACAGGAAACTAGGGGTCAACCCCCACAGCGAGGATGGCTCCATCCCTTCCTGGACATCAATCTCTGGCTGCTCAGAGAGGTCGCTCGCACTAGCCCTCTTCTACTCACAGGGCCCTCCACAAGTACACGATGGCATCTGATCTTCACATGCAGCAGGGAGGAGAACTCTGTGTTCCCCTTTCAATGAAGAGAACACTGGCCCAGAGCAGAGCAGTAACTTGAAATGGGTCTTACTGTTGGTGGGAAGGGGACTTGAATCCAACCCCCGCAGCCCCCAAAGCATTATCTATTTTCCTCATCAAAGCTGCAGAGCACCACATATGCATGCCACTTGCCTCCCACCCCACTTTAAGCTGGCAGTGGACACAGGCAGCCCACCTCCTGCAGCCCTGCAGACCGACTCCTCCTCTCCCCCATGCAGGGCCTGGCCACCAGGGTGGGCAAAATAAACACGGAACACACAGGCAGGCAGCACCCCAGGCCAGCTCGTCCTCACACCAGCCAACAGCACCCCAGGCCAGCTTGCCCTCACATAGGCCACACCCAGGCAAGGCACTCAAATGCGGGAACAGGGCAAAGGCTGATGGAGCAGCAGTACTTTGTAATCATCCAGAGACAGCAGCCAATTGTGCCAGGTCTGTGTCTGACTGACGCTGAGTGCTCCAGGGCAAACTGCACACTCGGACCATCCAACAAGGCCAGGCCCATCAGGCACGAGGGGGCCTCTGATGTCCCTCACAGGAAAAAAGTCACGGAGGTTTCTCATCTGGCCAGAGTATCCCTGGAAGCAGAAGGGTCGCCTTACAAGCAATTAATAAGCCCAGTGAATAGATAGAAGCACAAGGCATTTAGGCCCCTCGGAGGCCGGCCCTACAGAAGTCCGTGTTCTGCAGGGAGAGTTCAAGAGGAGATGGCAGCCCGGGCCACACTCTGATTTAGCAAAGCTCAAAGAAGATGAAGGGGCATTTTCAGGTGACTGAGAACTGAAGCCAGTAATGCTGATGAGAAGGTAGTGGATTCCAGAACCAACAGTTGGATGGTGCAGTCACAGGACAGCTCTTTCAGAGAGTCTCATCTCAGTCTCAGCCTACTTTCCAGAATAGCGGGAAAGACAGGCCGGAAGCGGGAAGCCTTGAAATCTCACAAGCAAACACAACAAGAGGCGGCCTCAGCACCAGCACCAAGGCCATGAGCCCCAGGCTCTGATGGCTCCCTCAAAAGCATCACTCTTGCACCTTCCCGAGACTTGGTGCAGCAGGGCAACCATAAAGTGGGGCCCAGACCAGAGCTGCCCAGGAGGCGGTCACCTGCAGGTACCCAGCAGCTGAAGGGCAGGAGCCAACAGAGCAGCTGCTGGAGAAAGATGAGCATAGGCCCTTGAGATGGATGGAGTAAGAGGACAGACAGGACCAGACCTGGGAACAGTCCTGCTCTCCTGTCTGTAAGAATGCCATCCCCAGCACCTGGGGTGGTCCCCCAGCAGCTCCACCCCACATCCCTCCACCCATGTGCTGGCACTCAGCTTGGCACAGACTGGCTAAAGAGGCTGCTACAAGCACCAGACAATAGTCTTCCACTACGGTGGGTGAGAACTGTTTGGATCTGCATCCCTGCCAACATCTCATGTTGAATTGTAATCCCCAGGGCTAGAAGTGGAGTCCGGTGGGAAGTGTTTGGATCATGGGGGCAGATCCCTCACAGCTTGGGGCCGTTTTCATGATAGTAAGTTCTCATGAGATCCGATCATTAAGAAGTGCATGGCACCTCCCTCCCAGCACTGCTCTCGTGCAATCTCTCGCTCTCTTTATCTCTGTCTTTCTCTCTCTCTCTCTCTCTCTCTCGCTTGCTCGCTCCTGTTTTTGCCATGTGACATGCCTGTTCCCTCCTCACCTTCTGCCATGACTGCAAGTTCCCTGTGGCTTCACCAGAAGCTGAGCAGATGTAAGTACCATGCTTCCTGTACAGCCTACAGAAGTGTGATCCAATTCCACAGCTTTTCTTCATAACCACCCACTCTCAGGTATTTCCTTATAGCAATGCAAGAACAGCCTAATACGGTGGGTTTTTCTGAACTCTAAAAACTCAGCTCATCTCTACTGGTTACAGTTCCCTAAAATGAATGATTTTCCCCAAAAGCAATTACTTCCCAAGGATACACCAAAAAGAGTCCTTTCACAAAGCCCCACAATGCAGGGCAATCAAACACCTGCCACTGGTTTGCTTTGGATATTCTGCTACTCAATGAATATGTTACTAAGGCTTCAGCAGGAAAAGTCACTCAGTTCCACTGCCCCACCAGCTGAGAAAGGCCTCATTAAACCTGAGCAGCCCAGGACAAAAGGCCCCCACCAGGCTTTTAGAGACAGTGCCCGTGAGCATGAGGCAGACTCTGCTCTCCCCCAGTGACCCTTCAGAGAAGGTGGGACCCCAGAGGCACCTGGCCCTCCCTACCTGACATTCAAGCCCATGGTCTGCTCCAGTCTCTCCCAGCTTTGCAGCCTGGCCAGCAGCTTCTGAAAAGACAACAAAAGCACGGACCCTGTCATCACCGCCACAGGATTATCACATAAGACTGACAATAATGATCACGGCGCTAAGTCCCTGACCTCTCAGGATAGCCTACCCTTATCTCTGAGCTGGGCACTAAATGCTCCAAGTCTGCTTGGAAGTGGCTGGGTTATTATTCCCCAACTGCAGAAGTCACACTGTACGCTTCATGCGTCACTCCTTCCCAGCCCCATGAATTCAAGTATGAATCCCAGCAAGCAGCCTGGGCCCAGTGGTTCATGCCTGTAATCCCAGCACTTTGAGAGGCTGCAGGTGGATCAAGAGGTCAAGAGACTGAGACCATCCTGGCCAACATGGTGAAACCCTGTCTCTACTAAAAACACAAAAATTAGCTGGGCGTGGTGGCACATGCCTGTAGTCCCAGCTACTTAGGAGGCTGAGGCAGGAGAATCGCTTGAACCAGGGAGGCAGAGGTTGCAGTGAGCCAAGATCATGCCACTGTACTCCAGCCTGGCAACAGAGCAAGACTCTGTCTCAAAAAAAAAAGGCCTACAAATGGAATATCCTATAGTATTCTAGTTCAGAAATCCAAAATGGGTCTCCCTAGGCTGGAATCCTGGTGTTGGCAGGGCTGAGTTCCTTCTGCAGGTTCCAGGGGAGAGTCCACTTCTCTGCTCTTTCCAGCTTCCAGAGGCACCCCTGTTCCTTGGCTTGTGGCCCCTCCTCCATTTCCACACCGAGCAGGAGCTGCCAAGTCCCTCTGATGTCACTCTGAGCCCCCAGGATGGCCTAGGAGCCCCTCCACACTGTGGGCCAGCTGACCTGTGACCTCAATCACCCAGCCAGGGAAGGTGCCGTGTTCACAGGCTCTGGGGATAAGGCATGGACCTCTCTGGGGACCATGATTCTGCCTCCCACCCTATAACACAAGGGTATGACCCACTCTGCACAAACCCTCACCTCGTTATCCAGCTCCAAGCCAACCAGTGTCTCCTGCATCTTCTCCTGGCGTCCCAGCTTCCTCTGTAGCCCTTCCACCTCCTCCTGGAGCAGCCCATTGGTCTCTCTCATCTCCCTGGCAGTGCCACAAAGAGTTGCTCAAATAGCCACACACCCTGGGGATGAAGCCAAGAGCCCAGGAGCCCTGCCCCTACAGGGTCTGCAACACAGGCTCCTGCACACAAACCCAGACTCACTACAGGCTACTCCATCCCCCATGCCCCCTCACCGCAGGCGTGCACTCTCCTCCCGCAGCTGTTTCAGCTCCCGTTCCAGCCTAGGGAGTCGCACCAGCTCAGACTTCATGTTCTTCACAATAGCAGCATCCTGCTCTTGTAGGGACAGCTTCTGCTCCAGATCCTGATGGAGGCCAGGGACAGAGAAGAAGGGAAAAATGAACTATGAAGAGACCTGGAGAAAATCACACGCACACGACTAAGAGAAAGAAGCTGGTCTGCAATGGCTACAGGAGCTAGGATCCAACCACGGACCTTCTGGGAAAGGGGGAACTATAGAGACAGCAAAAGTTTGGGAATTGTCAGCGACTCAAAAGGAGAGAGTCAGGGATTAACTGGGGGAGCACAAAGGATTTTTAGGCAGTAAAACCCTTCTGTGTGACACTCTAACAGTGAATATAGGACATTTTACATTTGCCCAAACCATACACTGTCCCACTCTAGGAGAGACACTTGAGTGACCTGTGGACTCTCCCTGACACTGATGCATCAAGACAGGTTCATAACCGTGATATGTGCTCCACTCTACCAGGAAAGGCGGTGTGTGCTTTTTTTTGGGGGGGGGGGTCGGGGAACAGGGGTGCACAGGAGCTCTACCTTCTGCTCATTTTGCTGTGAACCTAAATCTGCTATAGAAAAAAGCATCCCCTAAAGAGTAAAGTCACTGAGGCCAGGAAGTTCCTCCACTAAACTGCCCCAGGTCCTCAGCAGCCTCCATGGCTCAGGACTCTCCTCTGGGAGGCCTTCCCGGGCTGCACCAGGGCCCTCAAAGCTGCTTCCAATACTGAGCCTCGGCATTCAGTCCAGGGCAGCTCTTCCCAACACCGTCCTCCCAGCCCACTGCACACTGGGAGCTGGCACTCACCACACACCGCTGGGCTACTGTGCACACCACTGTCCTGCCCTCAGGGAGCTATCTAGAAGCAAAAGTCTATCTCAAGTCTGGCCCAAGATGACACTCCATGGTGAAACATCCCATCCTCCTGTGTCAAGCCCACTTCTGCCCCTCTAGTAGCATGTGTGTAACGGCTTACTCTTTCCAATAGTGAGGACAGGCTTTTCCCTATGGTACCCAGTCTCCTTGGGACACAGACAGCTGACATCTGTGAGCAGCAAGTCAGTGAACAGGCAGAGGATGAAACCACAACCAAACCAGATGGTCATTCAACAAACACTAACAGAGTCCATCTCTGTGCGATGTACCAAGTCAAGTGGCAGACACCAGGCCTCACCAGCCAGCAAATCCTGACAGGTGGGCCGAGGGATGCAGACAGGAGGATGAGGGGCCAGGGAACACCACCAGGAGGTGACATGGCAGAGGCTAGGTTGGGGGTGACAGTCAGCTCTGCAGCCAGGAAGAGCTGGTTTGAGGCATGGAGGTGAGGGTACATGGGGGGCCAATAGGGCACAGCTGGAGCACAAGGTCTGAAAGCTGCTCTCCAGGCAACAGGAGGTAGGAGAGGGATCCGGAGTCGGCGTCTCCCTGGCATGCCCTCCACAGGGAAAGGGCACAGCATGAGCTTGAGTAGGTCACCCCGACTGAGACCCAGCTCCAGCTGTGCAACTGTGGGCAGATTTCTTAGCCCCTCTATGCCTGTATCACCTTCTCACACTCTTCAGCACTTGACATCATCATACATTCGGACACTCTCTTCGTGTCTCTGGTCAGTCTCCATCCTCTAGAATGCACACTCCCTGAGGTCAGCAGCATCTGCCCCATTCACCATGGCATCCCTGGTGCCCAGCAAAATGCCCACCACACAGGGCAGCAGCAAATCTCACAGGAGGCCCACAGAGCTCGGCACTGGTGCAGAAAGGCCGACAAGGGCAAGAGAGCCAAGGCCACCACAGGGATGTCCACAAGGCACCTGACACAAGCAACTCACCTTAATCTGCTGCTCTTGATCTGCTCTCGTTTCTTGGCTGGCCTGGAGTTCCTGGATTTTCTGACTGGCTTCCTGCCATTTTCTATTAAAAAAAAATACATCACATACAGAAACAGGCATGTGGCAAGGCCAACAATTCTCTTCAGCCTGAGATCCGCCCCAGCACAGACCCACACACTCTCACTCCCACCCCAAGGTTCAGGACCCCCACCTGCACACACCCCTCCACACACACTCCCACTGCATGGGTACCCTAAGGTCCTGGGTCCCAGCCCCTGCTGGCTGGCTCTGAGGCCTCAGTCTGCTCATCCGCACAGAGTGCATAGTGAGCCCAAGCCACCTGCAAGGTCCTCGACAGCAGCGGCACCCACACTTTCACCTGCCGGCCGCAACCCGCAGCCCTGGTGCAGTTGTGGCAGAGCCCCGCCCAGAAATGACCTCTCCTCTCTACTACGAAACTAGAACTCTCCTAAAACCACATCTGCCGAGGGAAGGGTCAAACCCTTTAGGAGATGCCCATGGTGCTGGGCATCTCCTAAATGCTGGGTAGGAGAAGCCCATGGTGCTGGGCATCTCCTAAATGCTGGGTAGGAGATGCCCCCGGTGCTGGGCATCTTAGGAGGTGCTGACTGCACCTCCACACAAGGCTCTCATGTCTGTACCTTGGCTGAGCCCAGCCCTGTACCTGGACATCCCTTCCCAGCCACATCCCCTGCACCTCCAAGGCACATGGTGCTACCCTTTAAATCTAGCCCTGAATAGGGCACAGTGGCTCACACCTGTAATCCCAGCACTCTAGGAGGATGAGGCAGGAGAATCACCTGAGGCCAGGAGCTCAAGACCAGCCTGGGTGACAAAGTGAGACCCCCATCTCTACGAAACATTTTGTAAAATTAGCCAATTGCAAAATTAGCCAGGCATGGTGGCAGGTGCCTGTAATCCCAGCTACTGAGGAAGCTGAGGCAGGAGAATCACTGAACCCAGGATGCAGAGGTTGTGGTGAGCCGAGATGGTGCCACTGCACTCGAGCCAGGGTGACAGAGCGAGGCTCCAGCTCAAAAAATTAGCCAGGTGTAGTATATATGCCTGCAGTCCCAGCTACTCTGGAGGCTGAGACAGGAGGATCACTTGACCCCAGGAGGTCGAGGCTGCAGTGGGCCATGATTGCGCCAGTACACTCTAGACTGGATGACAGAGTGAGACCCTGTCTCAAAAAATAAAGTAGCCAGGTGTGGTGGCTTATGTCTATAATCCCAGCACTTTGGGAGGCCAAGGCGGGTGGATCACGAGGTAAAGAGATCGAGACCATCCTGGTCAACAAGGTGAAACCTTGTCTCTACTAAAAATACAAAAATTAGGGGGCCGGGCGCGTGGCTCACGCCTGTAATCCCAGCACTTTGGGAGGCCGAGGCAGGTGAATCACAAGGTCAACAGATCGAGACCACCCTGGTCAACATGGTGAAACCCCGTCTCTACTAAAAATACAAAAAATTAGCTGGGCACGGTGGTGCGTGCCTGTAATCCCAGCTACTTGGGAGGCTGAGGTAGGAGAATTGCCTGAACTCAGGAGGCAGAGGTTGCAGTGAGCCGAGATCGTGCCATTGCACTCCAGCATGGGTAACAAGAGCGAAACTACATCTCAAAATAAATAAATAAATAAAGTAAAATCTGCAGGAGCCCTCTCCAGGAAGGAGTGCGAGGAATTTGCTGCCCCCACTCTGCTCTAGGAACATGAGAACACTTTCTGGGCTCATGGTCCTGGCTCCAGGGGCCTCAGTGTCTGCCCCTCTTGACTGTCTGTGAATTAGGACAGCATCCAGGAGTGCATCCACATCCCACCCAGCCACCAGGAGAGAGGCAGGCCCCACACCCCAACCCGTGACCCAACCCCTGTCAGCTCCTGCCCTGACCCCACACCCTGGCCCGCACCCACTTGTGCTGCAGGTCCAGCTGCTCCTGCAGCTCCTGCTTCTCTGACTCCAGACGCTTCACCCGCATTTCCTGATCCATCACGTTCCACTGCAGTTCCGAGATCCTCCCCTTCAATGTGTTGATGGTCTGAAAGCAGAGGGGGCCAGAGAGCCACTTAGTGAGCCAAGACCATAAGCAGGGCAGGGGGCAGAGGGGCAGGGGGAGGGGGCAGAGGAGTAGAGCGGCAGGAGGATAGAGGGGTGGGGGGGGGGACGGGGGGCAGGGGGGCAGGGGGCAGAAGAGTAGAGAGGCAGGGGGATAGAGGGGCAGGGGGGCAAGGGGGCAGGGGGGCAGGGGGGCAGAGGGCAGAGAGGCAGAGGGGTGGGGAGTCAGGAGAGCAGGAGAGCAGGGGGCCAGGGGGAAAAGCCACCTCCTCCAGGAGGACATGCACCCAGGCAGATGCTGACATGCAGGGCCCACCCTTCTCCAGGCACTCCAGAACAGCACAGCTCAGAGTCTGCCACAGGCCACCCAAAAGCTGACGGAAAACACCCAGGCCCCAGCCAGGGCCCCTGGAAAGGAGGCTTGGTGAGGAGGCTTCAGAAACAAAAGCCCCCGCCAGCCAAGATGGGCCTGGACTCTCAGGCCTGGCACCTGTCAGTCTCTGTGCCAGAGGCCCACACTCCCAAAGTCCCACCAGGCATCCACGTGCCTGCCACACCATCACTTTGGCCTTCCCTCCAAACATGGCTCTTGGCATCCCTCCCTAGCCACCCCCATGCTACTGTGTCGGCTGTTTGCTAATGACATCACCTTCGAACAACGGCAAGGCAATGGCCAACCAAAAGGACAAAGATGGAGGCTCTGCAGAGGGCTGAGCAGTACCTGCTGGCAGGCCATGTGCTTGGAAGGGGAGTGCTTGGCACCGGAAGGAGCCACCTGGGGAGGCGGTCCCTGAGCAAACCCAGCAGTCTCTCCAGCAGCTTCCAGGACAGCAGGTGCAGGTCTGCCTGACATCACGGAACCCAAATGCAGCGCAACCAAACCACCACACTTCCTCCTGATCATTCCCCACAGGCAACCTTCTGAGGACCCTAACCCCCTGGAAAAGCTCAGAAAACCCTAGGTGTCCTCGGGTCAAGCCAATGTGAAAAGCCAGATGGACAGTGAGAAGCATTGCTGTAAGTTAACACACGGAAATACATGGGGGTGATATAAGCTCTGGGGAACCACGCATCCAGGGCAGGACAATGGCAAACTCACACAGCAAACAACCTAGCAAGACCTGGCTGGGTGGCACCCTCCGCAAACAAGGAGGTCACAGCACTCATTTCCCTGTCCCAGAGAACCCGTGCCCAGCTCAGGGCGACTGGAGCCCGTCACCGCTGTCTACCCAATGCCACTCTGGGAAGGCCCGCGTGGGGCTGTGCGTGCTCCCTCCACACCCACAATCTGTATGGTTTACTTCACCACAATAGTGAGGGGCCAACCTGGAAGTCAAAAAAGAAGGAAGGTATTGAAAACATACTAACAATAAACACATCCTCCCAGAGGTCTTAATACACAGCGGGTGCCAGGGGTGAGCCAGATGCAGAGCTGAGCCCACCTGCCCACAGGGCACCTGTGTTGTAGGGGATGCAGGACAGTCGGCAAGGAAGAGGCACATAAGATAATTCCAGAGTAAGGAGGGTGACAGTCAGGGCCCTGTCACCAGAGAAGGAAGCCAAGGCCTAGTGAGCAGGGAAGGCTTTCCTGAGGAGCTGCCACCTTGGCTTAGACATGACAGGCCACAGCAGCAGCACCTGCACGTGATGAGCTTCCTCTCACTGCGCCCCACCCCACCGGGCACCGCCCTGCACCTCCTACAGTCTCCTGCTCCTCTGCCCCCCATGGAGTGCTGGGCACAACTCACCCTTCCCCATGGAATCCCCAACCTGCCTCCAGCATAACCCAGCGCACAGGGCCTGGAACCCAGAGCAAGGCAAGGCAAGAGCGGCTTCTCAGGAGCCAATCACGCCTCCTCTCCTGCCAACATTCCCTCCAGAGGCAGATGGGGGAACAACCTGAACACGCCTCCCTAGCTCTGCCCAGAAAAACCACAACCAGCTTCTGGACTCCTCCAGAAGAGCTGCAGATGGAGAACGTGCACGAGGCGCTGCACGCCCACCCCACCCAGACCCCCACGCCTCCACCCCCACACCAGCAGATTTTCATGTTTCCTTTTGGCACCAGCGATCCTGATCACCACAGAATAGGGACAGGAGAGGTCAGATGATTCCAGTTTCCACCAGCACCCATGTCCGGGCTGTTTCTAAAACAAACGAACCTTCACACACACTGCAGTTCACACTGGCTCCAGTTCAGAGGCAATTCTCTGATGCCATCGGATGCCTGCAGACCTTGCCGATAGTCAAAGAAGTGCAAATCCAGACATGCCTATTTAAGCCTCCTGAGAAAACAACACCTATTTCCAGAAAAGACCACCATCCACGACAGGAAAGGCTGCAGGGAAACTGGAGCCCTCAACTAGGGCTCTAAGAGCAACCGCCACAGAGACTGCCATCGCTGGGGACCTTATAACCCAAACCCAGGGGTCTGTCCAAAGTCAACAGAGGGCTAGAGGATGGGCTACCTGCCACATAGATAGGACGAGGGAACGCAAACACACTGAACATTCACAAACGACAAAAAGCAGATTCATCAATCATTAAAATTCATAATTACAGAAAAAAAAAGTGATCTTTTTTTTTTTTGAGAGAGAATCTCGCTCTGTCACCCAGGCTGGAGTACAATGGCAAGATCTTGGCTCACTGCAACCTCCAACTCCTGGGTTCAAGTTTTTCTCCTGCCTCAGCCTCCCGAGTAGCTGGGATTACAGGTGCCCACCATCACGCCCGGCTAATTTTTGTATTTTTTGTACAGATGGGGTTTTACCATGTTGGTCAGGCTTGTCTTGAACTCCTGACCGGGTAATCCACCTGCCTCAGCCTCCCAGAGTGCTGGGATTACAGGCGTGAGCCACCATGTCTGGACCAAACACTCAACTTTTTAACTGAAAACTACGGAATGGAAAATTAATACTTCTACTGATTACAGCTATGCAAAAAACACAGCTGCCCATGTGGGAAACACAACTAAAAACACAAAGGTGGCACTGCAGAGGTAAACAAGAGCATGCATTCCCTCTAGGGAACACAGCTTCAGGAGGGCGGACCCAGCCCAGCAGAGGCCTCACTCACCTCGCCAGCCTGAGCCAGGCTGTCCTCTTTCTCACGCAGTCTCTTGCTGGTAGCGTCCAGGTTCTGCTGACACTGCCTACTGCGCTCCAGCTGCTCCTGCATCTTCTCCTCCGCACCAGCCTCACGCTCCTGAAGCTGCCGGATGCGCGTCAGGAGCTCCTGGTTGCGGTCAACCTCGCGCTGTCAAGAGAGCAAGAGTAAGATGCCACATGCCACCGATGGGAGGGTCAGCGGGGAGCCCTCACCCCCACGCCTCTCTCAGAACAGGCCACCAAGGCACAGAAAAGAGCCAAGCAGGACCCACCAGCCAAGTCAGCGGCAGAGCCAGGACGGGACCTGGGACCCAGCTCCAGCATTGGCGCCCCCACTGAAACACCATGACGTGAGCACTGTGAGAGGTCAGGGCTCCCAGGAAGGGCACCTGGCACAGATCACACACACACTCGTCACACCATCTGCTCAGCGGTTGCCTCTGCAGGGAAAGGGAGCATGGAAAATGTGAAATTCAGAATGGACCTTGTAGAGAAGCTGAGCTCTGCAGCACCAGCAGGTCCTGATTAAGCACACTCTGGCCGGCACTAAAATGAGCTGGCACTCCCCCAGCAAGCAGATGACAGGGGCAGAGACAGGTGGCATGGACAGGAGGCTGCAGACAGAAGCAGTTTACACTGGGCTCAACTCTGCCACATATGCACAGCATCTCACGCAAACCTCCAGAGCCACCCCGCAGGACTGGCCTTAGGGAGGCCATGTGGCTCTCGCTGGTTAGGATGGGATAGAACCAAGAACCATGCTCAGATGTCCTGACTCTAATGACCCACAGGCCCTGCTGAGTTCACTGCCAGGTACCGAAGTCCCGGGAGGTGAAGACGGTGAGTCCTGGTGGAGCCCAGCACTCCAGGCCCTCTCGCCCTGCCTTCCTCAGGAAGCGCCAAGCACTCATGGAGCCCAGGGCAGAGTACGTGTTTGTGCTACCCTTGTCCAGAGTACTCCAGCCCAAAACCTAGGAGAGGTGTGACAGAGGGTGGCCACCTTCTGATGGCTGACCCACATCTCAGAGGGACTCCAGCCCTTGTGAGCTGCAAGAGCTGTCTCACCACAACCAAGAGACCCTTCTGTGATGCACAACAAGAAGAGAGCCGGGGTTGTCGCAGGGCTCCGCTGAGCACTGTCGCAAGCCAAATGTGGCACTGGGCCTGGTGCTGCCAGTCCTAGTGCAGACAGGGCAGCCAGCAGGTCCCTGGACTTCAGACACTTAGGTTTCACCCCCTAATAGGTATTTCCAGGTGGAACTCCGAGGAACAACTGGAAAACTACTGTTTCTGACTGTTCTTGGGGTCTCATGCAGCTTGTCTGTGGGCAAGGAAGGAAAGGCATGTTGGAAGGTGGCTGGAGCTCAGAAGGGAGCCCCGGGTGTAAGCTCAGTCACCTGCATCCTTGGATTTCCCCAAGAAAGGGCTACGGAGACCCTACAGTGACCCTTCCCTCAATCAAACATTTGTGAGCATCCATAAGGTGCCATAAGATGTGCCACACGATGGAGAACAGGTGAGCCCTGTCCTCAGGGACTCTTGGCCCAGAGAAACTCAAACGGCTGCACACTCCATCCTCCTGCTCTAGAGCCAGAGCCGTGCCCTGAGCATGCTGCCTCCAGACTAATGGTGCCACTAAACTGGTGCCACCTCTCCACCCCTAACCAGGGAACCTCAATAGTCAGGGAGATTCCTGTGTCCTCTCCCTCCCTCTCCCACCAATTCCACCAGGACTGTCCCTCCTAGGACCCACCCAGGCCATGAGCAAAAGCCCCAACCTCTCAGGGAAAACAGCTCTCAAAGCAGCATGGGAGCCACCCCAGAGGCAGCGGCACCCACCCCGGCAGTGTCTTGGGCTCACTAAGCCCACACAACACACCGCAGCCAGGATCTGCAGGCCAGGGACAAGGAATCCAAAAAGCATCACACCCCAGAAGACGTGAGCTATTTATTTTTCTAGGGCCTAGGAGTGTGCGTGAATAAACTGCATGAGGTCGGCAGGGGGAGGGGCTAGACACATCCACCAGCAAGAAAGGGCACAGAGGCCAGGGAGAATCTCCGTCCAATGCTCTGCCTGAGCCTTGGCAGCACCCACAGCTGATCAGCACTTACTGAACCCCTGGCAAAGTGCTGTTAGTCAAAGCAGAGGAGATCCGCACATTCGGTGGAAACCTAATTCCCTCCCCAAGGACAAGGAGCTTTCCCTACTGCCCTGGGCAAGCCAGGAGCAACACCCAGCTGCCACAGAGGCCGGCACTCTTTGCTACAGCCCTCCAACCCAAAGACCTAGCATGGACCCAAGACCCCATTCCACCCCGTGAGCTCCTAAGCCTGTCACTCCTAAACCACTCGGCATTTCTGCCAGGCCTGCCTTGCAGTTCTTCCAGAGGGAAGAGGAAACCAGGAGGTTTGTATGCCAGTGCCGCAGCCTCACTGAACAGACATAGCAAGGGGCCACCCTTCGCAATTGTCCCCATTTCATGCCACCCTTCTCTAGGACATCAAGCATAACTTATACCTGGCCCCCGGCATGAGTGGCCTCAGAAGGAATGTCCTGGCAACCGTGGCACAGGGCATGTCAGGCTTCCAGACGGCTGGGTTCTGGATTTCTCATAGCCTGACAGGTACCGTGCACAGCCCCCTTGCTCCCAGGGGCTGGGATCTGATTTCTTACAGCCTGGTAGGTACTCTGCACAGCCCCCTTTCTCCCAGGGGCTGGGATCTGATTTCTTACAGCCTGGCAGTTACCATGCAGTGCCCTTGCTTCCTGGGGCTGGCTGGGCCAACTCTCGCCCCACCTGAACCCACCTCATAGTTCCTGGCACTGGTGCTGGCCGCTCTCTCCAGCTCCACTCGAGCCCTCTTGTGACTCAGCTCCATCTGCATCTTCTCCCGCTCCACCTGGATGAGGTGGGACTTGGAACGGATCTGCTCTGCTCTTTCCTCCAACTGCGCAGGTCACACCCAAATAACAAAAGAATCCTCAGTGACTGTATCAAACAAGGTGAGTGACTCCATGCAACAGACACACTCCCTGAGCACTCGTTCCTGCAGGGCCCAGGCTAAGTCTTGATGTTGCCCAGTCACTGGGCCCCAGGCTGGGGAATGAGAGAGGGACAGGTGATAGGAAGGTGAAAAAGCCTGGGAGGAGGAAGACGTCTCTTGAGATGACATAAAGCATATTAGTGAACTCAATGGCCTTGAATGCCACCTATTTATTTACCAGCCAATGGCTCTGTGGGTCAGAAGTTCATACACAGGTGGCTGCGTTCTCTGATCAGGGTCTCCCAGGCTAAAAATCAATGCAGTGAGCCAGGACGTGTTCTCATGTGGAGCTCAGGATCCTCTCACAAGCTCACAGGGATGGAGAACGAGGTCTCCTTCCCTACCAGGTGCCAGCCCAACACAGCTGTCAACTCCTAGAAGATACCCACATCCCTTGCCATGTGGCCCTCTCCATCTCCAGTCAACCACGACCAATCTCCCTCGTCAAACCCTCTCCTGCCATATCTCTGACTGCTCTGCCTCAGGCACCTGGACTCAGACTTAGAGGGCTCACAGGAGTAGATCAAGCTCACCCAGGTAATCTCTATCTTAAGGTCAACAGACCTGAGATCTTAATTATATCTGCAAAATCCCACAGCAACGATACCTAGTCAGTATTTGACTGAATGCTTGAGAGACAGTACAGAAGGTGAGTATGCACCACGAGCCTGGAATCTGGGGGCCTCTCAGAAGTGGGCCTACCACACAGGGCTAGTGATTACAGGTGAGCTGAGTCTCAAAGGGCCCCAGAGACTTGCTAAACAGTTCCAGAGCCAGCCTTTGGGTACGACCTGCTTAGCTGGAGGAAAAGGTAGAGTCACTGACTCTTCATGTGGCCCAGAGCTTTGCAGTGCAGCGGCACAGCATCTCCTGGCACTTAAATGCAGAGTCTCAGGCTACACCCAGACCTACTGAATCACAGTCTTCTCTTTAGGTCGGGCGTGGTGGATCATGCTTATAATCCCAGCACTTTGGGAGGTCAAGGCTCATGGATCACTTGAGGCCAGGAGTTCAAGATCAGCATGGCCAACATGGGGAGACCCCATCGCTACTAAAAATACAAAAATTAGCTGGGTATGGTGGCACACACCTGTAGTCCCAGGTACCCAGGAGGCTGAGGTAGGAGAGTCGCTTGAACCCGGGAGGTGGAGGCTGCAGTGAGCCAAGATCACACCACTGTACTCCAGCCTGGGTGACAGGGTGAGACTTCGTCTCAAAAAAAAAAAAAAAAAAAAAAGAATCTAGGCTGGGCACAGTGGCTCATGCCTATAATCCCAGCACTCTGGGGGGACAAGGTACATCACTTGGGGTCAGGAGTTTGAAACCAGCTTGGCCAACATGGTGAAACGCTATCTCTACTCAAAACTACAAAAATTAGCCAGGCATGGTGGTAGCTGTAATCTCAGCTACTCAGGAGGCTGAGGTGGGAGAATCACTTGAACCCAGAAGATAGAGGTTGCAATAAGCCGAGATTGCACCGCTGCACTCTAGCCTGGATGACAGAGTGAGACCCCGTCTCCAAAATAAAAAAAAAAAATCTTCTTTTTAAACACATTCTCAGGGCATTCACAAGCACATGAAAGTTTGAGAAGCACCAGAGTAGATCGGTAGTTCCCAAAGGGGCCAGTTTTGCCCCTGGAACATCTGGCACTGTGTGGAGACACTTCCAATTATCACAGGGGGTGGTCGTATGTGTGTGCTGCAGGCTGGCATCAGCGGGTAGAGGCCAGGGATGTTGCTAAACAGCCCACAATGCACAAGAAAGTCCTGAGGAAAAAGAATCACCCAGCCCAAATGTCAAGCATGCCAAGGCCAGGAAAGCCTAGGACAGGGAAGGGAAGTTTCTCCGTCCTCCCACCTGTGTTCTCTGGAGGCCCAGGCCCACATATTCTTTATACCTATGTTACCGTGTTTCAATTCCCAACTGCTGCTGTTTGGGGGTTCCCAAGACTGTCCTTCAAACTCAGTAGCCTTCCTGGTCTCGTTTCTGAGCCTCTCCAGAAGGGCGGGCACCCTGACTGCAGGGAGCACCACTAGCAGGGACCAGGAGTCCCAGACACACCTGATCCGTGTGCCACCTCTGCCTGGAGCTGCCTACAACTGAGACAGGAACTGAAAGCTCGCCCTTACATTTAAATAAACACAGATATGTGAAAAAGCAGACAGCACACATTCCCCCAGCCTGCTGTGTTCTCCAGGCCCTCCCTGCCACTCCAGGGGCTCAGCAGGAGAGAAGGAACCATGACAGAAGTCCAGGAATGTCATGTGACAGGGGCCAGGGACCAAGGCTGGGCTTGTGGTCATCACTCTGCTAACCACCTCGCTCTGACTACTGCACTCCACCACTGATCCCCTCGCCGAGGAGGCCCTTATCAGCGTGAGCTCTGGGGGCCTCCCAGGTCCAAGTGAGATTCT